CTCTATAAATACCCTTTGCCTCCCAGCTCTTTCCTCTATTTCCATTGATTCTCCTCCTGTCCCACTATCATGCTCAGTCCCCACCAGGATTTCTAAACAAAATATTTTTGACTAAACAAAATAGCTTGCAGGAACTAAACAAAATATTGTTGAGTTCTATGCAGGAACTAAACAAGAAATAGTTAATATATGGAACTGGATAAGTTTTGCTTTGCTGCATTAGATAAGAAATAAATGATAGTTTCTAAGGAAAAGTAAGCATATGTTTATATGTTCAACATCAAGTGTTAGGCTATCTTATTTAATCCCTTCAGTGAGTCCACATGATAGCTAATGTATCCTATTTTAAAGATTTTTTAAAAATTAAGGTTAAAATTAAGTGTTTAAATAACTTGTCCAATAACATGACCCTAGAACTAATAAATGCTCTTAGCACTTCTCCCTAAGCAATAATCTCCAAAGTGGAAAATGCAGGGGATGTGCAAAGAAAATATTAGAACTTTTATTTATATTTATTTCAAATCAAGAAGTAGAAATCAAGCTTTATGACTTTCACTACATAAATCAAAACTGGTTACAAGTCGTGTATGGTACTCAAGGTAGTGGGAGAAAAAAACAAACTCTTCCATCAGAGGACTTGACAGTAACACATCCCTTACCTGCTGGATCTTTGTCAGAGTACAGTGACATCGATGGCAGTTTTTGTGTACGCACTCCAATGGAATGATGGCTGTACCTTTGTTTTTACTCACACAATGGGTAGGAAGCAGAAGGTGTCTACAAAGGAACAATAAATTAAGCAAAATATTAATAGTAAAAGCATAAAACTGAAATGACAAAACGGATACTACTTCTTTCTCTTCCTAGTACAAATTACTTGCTAGCCCTATCACAGCTTAGGAAAATCCAATCTGATTGACAAGTCAAGTTTGAACACTCGAAATTACTGTAAAAAATGACCGTTTGGAATACAGATTTACAGAACCTTGACGTAAATCTATAATAATCCTCAAGGCTGTCGATAGCAGCGTACCTGTAACTTATCAATAGATGCACTGGGAGAAATGCTGACTGGAGTACCTAAGCCAGCTGGGAGTCCGCCAGACTATTTGCTTTGTCCATGGCATATTACAGCTCCTTTAGTCCAAGCATCATTACAAAGAGAAGCTAACCCTAAAAAGCCAATTTCATTTTAAAGATGTGTAATAGCTCATCACAATCAATGTGAACAAATAATGATGTATTTATATATGGTCAAGGAGCCATTCAGAAACTTTAATCTATTCTGTATCAGAAAAAAACAATTTTCCATGTAAAAAATACACAATGATCTTCCATTTTGAAGTTAATCCATTTATTTTTTAAGAATTTGTAACCTATGTTGTTGAAAATTTGATACACTTTTCTAATTTCTTCTTTTAAAATATGAATAGCCCTGGTAGTGCTCTAGGGTAAGCAGTGGACTGCTAATCACAAGGTCAGTATTTCAAAACCCCCAGCAGTTGCAAGAGTGAAAGATGAGCTATCTGCTTTCATAAAGATCTACAGACGCAGCGCCTTGTGCAGGCTATGCCAGAATCGAGGGGACAGCAGGGAGTGCGGTTTGCTCTTTTTCTTACTGGTGGTGTGTTTTTCTTTTCGTTTTTTTAATATACAGGCAGTCTCTGGGTTATGAACAAGCTCTTTTGCTGCGTGTGCCTTTTAAGTCTACTAGCAAGTACAGGTGCATGGTTCTTCTTTAGCCTGACTTTAGTGCAAGAAAAGGCTGAAACACTTCAATAATTTAAAAGGAGCACATGCAACAAATGATGGTAACTATGAAAGTTTTGATTCAAAAACAGTAGGTTTGGTTTGGTTTTAGGGATTGGTTGAATGGATTCAATGCAAAAGCAAGTTCATGTAATGTTAAAGGACAAATCAGATAGATGCTTCTAATTTGGGAACTGCATGGACTTCTCCATTGTTAACTGTTTATCACTAACTCAAATTTATTAGAAGATGATAGTGTGGCAAGTGATATTAACTGTATATGTTGTGCTGTTTGACCACGGATAATTCTATCCAGTCTGTTCTTATAACTTGAGGGAGCTGTGTCATATAAAGTATCCATAAACACCTAATTGATGACTGCTGAACTATTCCAAGCCCAAACCCACTGCTGTCACGTGGATTCCAAGTCACAGCAATTCTGAAGGAGCATAAAACTGCCCCATAAATTTCCAAGGTCACAAATCTTTATGGAGCTGCATCTCTCCCCCTAGGAGTACCTGGTGGGATCCACCTTTCAGTGAGCAGCTGAGTACTGAACCACTATCCCACCACAGCGCCTCCACCGAACCACTGCTTTAGGAAAGATACATCATTTCCCAGGAGCCTCCAGAGACAACATGTTCATTAATCAATCTATATGGCACACTTGCTTATACATGCTCCTGTTTAAATACACTGTCATTTGTCCAAGTATTATAGCATAAGCAAGTGGGAAAGTCGAGTTAGCATTAACTGCCATAGGAAAGTAGCAGCAGACAGAAGTGAAAGAATGGAAGAACTAGAATCAGGTTTGGAGAGAAATTCTCGAGATCTGTTTTAGATCTGTTAAGTTTGAATTGTCTATTTGGCATTGAAGAGAAAATGTTAAATATCAATCTGGAGTTAACTGGAAAACTCTGAGCTGATAGCAAAAACTTGGGAGTTATCAGTGTACTGATGATGTTCAAAATGGCACGGAAAAGGGAAGAAGTTTAAAAATGGAATTCTGACACAATCCAACATTAAGAGGCTAAGGAGAAGAGGAGCAGCGCTAAAGCCAACAGTTAGGCCAGTGAGAGTGGGGAAAAGCGCAAAGCATGGATCCTCTGTGAATCCGTCTATGTGAGCAAAGTGTTCTGGACAGAGCAATTAATCCACTGTGTCAAATGTTACTACATAGTAAAGTCCTCTGAGAACGTATTAAGTAACTATGGGACTTAGTAACATGGAAGGCACTGAGGAACTTGACTAAGGCACTTTGTAATAATATTTCTAATATGCAGTACTTTCTTATTCTCTACTACTTTTACTATTTTGAGCAGTGTTTCTTATCTTATGCGTAAAATGTTGTTTAATCTTTCTGTAAATGATATTTATCTATTCCTTCTGGAGTTGGTTATATTAATATGTCTGTGATACTACAGACCAAGGACGTTATTGAACAGTATCAACAATATCATATGCAAGTAAAATTTTGTTGAAGATAATTTAAAAACTGTTACAGCAATACATCGACAGGAAACTGCCAGAATTCAAGAAGAGGACGTGGAACAAAGGGGAGAATGACATTTCTGACATCAGATGATCCTTGATAACTCAAAGTCATTTGACTACATGGATCTTGACTTATCAGGAAAGTTATGTGTCAGGGTTGTATCCTTTCACCATACTTATTCAATCTGTATGCTCAGCAAATAATCCAATAAACTAGACTACAAAAAGAATGCAGCATCAAGATTGGAGGAAGGCTCATCAATAACTTGTGATGATATGCAAATGATACTTGACCTGCAGAAAGCAAGACGGACTTGAAGCACTTACTGATGAAGGTCACAGACTATACCTTTAATATGGATTGCAACCAATCATGATAAATAGAGAAAGGATTTCATCTTCCTTGGATCCACGATCAGCCACGTGGTAGCAGCAGTGAAAAAAATGAAGCAATGTATTTGCACTTGGCAAAACTGTTGTAAAAGATCTCTTTGCTGAAAAAGCAAGAATTTACCCTAAGGACTAAAATATGCCTGATCCAGTGATTTTCAATTGCTTCATAAGCATGTGAGAATTGGACAATGAATTAAAGTAGACTAAAAAATTGATGCCTTTGACTTATGGTGTGGCCATGTTTATTGTACATACTGTTGACTGCCGGAAGTAGGAGCATGTATTCATGTTGGGAGAAGCACAGCCAGACTTAGAAGTGAGGGTGGTGAGACTGTCTCAAGCACTTTCAACATTTTATCAGGAGGGATTCGTCCCTGGAGAAGGATCTCATGCTTGGTAAAGTAGAAGGGCAGCAAAAAGGGAAGGCCCTCATAGGAATGGACTGGCAGTGGCTGCAACACTGGGCTGAAACATAGCAACAACTGGAAGTGGGGCAAGACTAGGCAACATTTCACTCTGTTGTGGCATAGTGGTCCTGTGGTAGGCTGCTAAGCAAAAGGTCAGCAGTTTGAAGTTACCACTCTGTGGGGAAAAGATGAGGCTTTCTACTTCCATAAAATTAGTCTTGGGAACCCATAGGGGCAGTCCTACCATCCTATAGGGTCGTTGAGTCAGCATCAACTTGAAGGAAGTAAATTGGGGCTTTTATTTTTTTGCTTTGGGGTTTTGGTTGCTCTCTCACAGACTTGCAATGAGACGGAATCAACTTGACAGCAACTAACAACTACAGGAAGCCTGGTGGCGCAGTGGTTATGAGCTGAGCTGCTAACGACAAGACCAGCCGTTCAAAACCACCAGCTCTTCCGTGCGGGCTTTCTAATCCCGCAGAGTTTCAGTCCTGGAAACTCACTGGGGCATTTCTACCCTGTCCTATGAGGTCACTATGAGTCAGCAGTGAGTTTTTTCATCTTTTTAACAATTACTACAACATACACTACTATTTCATTTCTACCTCTTAAGTATTAAAGAAAACGTAGAACAAGGAAGAAGACAGTGATAAATAACAGTGAATAAAGACCAGAATTGTGGACAAGATACAAATGATTAATTCACCATTTCCAAATTTGTATCTAAAGGAAATTGAAAATAGTCCAGTTTTAAACTCATTTTCTCTAAAGTGACTTTTTTTTTTACTAAATTAGTCTCTTGTTCCTTATAATACTTACCTAATAAATAAGATATGGCTCCTCTCTCCTTATAAGAATTATTCATTTCATATGCTTTTAATTAGTTATTGTAATGCACAAAATAATCTTGTTGATGTGTTGCTGTCTAAGAATTGAGAGAGTGAACCAGAGAATTAATGATTCTAGATCCCCAATTGTTAGCACAGACGCCATTGCTTCTTCACTTGCACTGGCTCATCATGCCAGGAGCGCTAGAGGCAAGAGACAACCTCCACTGGAATGCAGAGACAATTCAGCAGACTGAATTGAAGGACAGAGGTCTTGCGTTATTTTTATTTGAATGTATTCTATCTAGTATGTTACCTAATACAATGTGTATTAAAGTGGTTCATGAATGAATGAAAATTATGTTCTGCTTACTCTGATGAAAATATGATAATGATCAGAAAAGTGTTGGATATACCATTTGGAGATATTTTTTCCACAAAGAGCACACCCACTTAAACAACAAGCACTCATATAACAGGTAGAAATGGCAAAATTATGTTAAAAACTTCTGGCATAATGTGTCCATGTATATATATTATACATGTGTGACCTTTCACCCTTACTGAATAGCCTGAAAATGCTCCATTTGATCGTATTTGTATAATAAAGGTATCAACCATGTCAAGAAGTCATAGATCAAGTTTAGCAGACTAGAGTAATCAGAAACTAGATAAAATGTAACTGGCCAGTTTGTCTGGGGCGGTTTGTAGCCAGGCATGACAGCAATGTTGTTCCTTGTAGGCAGTCTGCATCCAGGTTCCTTGTGCCAGAGGTGGAGAGAAGGCTAGGCAGAGAGTGCTAGCACCCCTACAGTGGGCGGGGACCGCTGCCCACACAAGCTCAGATCCCACAGGGGGAGCCTCATGTGAAATTACACAGCAGGATGTTGCAGTTGGGGGTATGCAT